ATCCATCCACCAGCTTATCTAGCTATTATAATAGCTATCTATCTAGCTATTGTTATTTTTCACCACATCTTTGTTGTACATGGTTTTTAGAAACCAATGGGTATGTGTTTTTTGTGGGGTTTTTTTGCCAAAAATAATCAGGCAAATCCTATTAAAGTTTCTGCTATAGCAACATCTCTCTTGAAAATCCACTTCTACAGAAACCCATGGATTTTTCTTCCCTTCCTTCCATTTATTATGTTCATCCATATTGATCCAGAAACAGAACAAAAATGCAATATAAGCTGTAAAATCATAAAGTGATTGCCTCCTAAAATTACTCGTAAGACTCCAAGTTTCCATATTCATAAAAAAATGTTTTTCAGTTTTTCAGATGATAAGAACAATTGGGGTTTACTTGTAAATCTCTTTGGACTGCTGGGTGTCCCAGTTTTGTTGGATATCTTGGTTTAAAAATTGAAATATTAAATTATTCCTTCTTTTGAATTAACACTTTGTGAAAGATACTTATTTTCATATTCCATGACCCAATATACATACATAACAGAATATCTACCTACAGATGAAACAAGCAAACAAAGGGGAAAAAAACCAAACCCACTCACTTTCTTATCTCTTTTCCCTTTCATTTCACCACAGAAGACAAGATCTGGACAGTAGTGGAGCACAATAATACAGAATTGACTCATGTCCACGGATTTGATCCTCAGAAACCATACACCATGAACTTCAGTTACAATAGCAGTGGGAATCAGCTGGAAGCAATAACAAATAATGCTGAATATTGTGAACAGGAGACAATTTACCATTGTAAAAAGTCACGTCTGCTGAATTCCCCAAGTAAGTGCCATCTGTTGAAGTCTTTCTGGTTTTTTGTTTTTTTTGTTTTTTTGTTTAGTCATTTGTTTTCATTTTTAATGTTTTAGTGTCTGTAATATAGTAATATACATATTCTCCGATAAGATCAAATAATTGAAATGAGAGCATGGCTAAGTTTATTTATTTATTTATATTCTGCCTTTATTATTTCTTTAATAAATAATTCAAAGTGGCCAACATACCTAATACTCCTTCCTCCTCTTTTTTTCTCCACCACAATAACCCTGTGATGGGTGTTGAACTTAGATAGCCCTAAGTCAATAATACAATACGATAATAATACAATAATATCAATACAAAATGATAGGAAGTATAAAATAATATAAAGCATTTTAAAAAGCAATGTGTTAATAGAAAATACTACCTTATGTTAGTGACACATATAGTAATAGTGTGATCTTTTAAAAGCAACTTCGGTATGATCAACTTGCTTCATCTACGAATTAAGAGAAAGTGAAAAAGAAAACTCAGAATCTTATAATTATAAATAAAAACTATTGATGTTACCACACATAAATCAAAACTGTTCTTACACAGGGCTAACACATGACTCATTAAAAGGCAGCAAAGAGATACAGAAACACTAGTTCTTTTATGACTACTCATGCTATTCATTTAAGTAAATACAGTCTTAATATTTGTAGTAGACAGAATTAAAGCTCTTTCTAAGTAATCAATAGGGCAGAATAGCTAATAATTATGGGGAGTAACAGAACTTCAATCATTAAAGGAGAATGGTTATAAGCACTCTTCACACTTACAACTAATTAGCATGTAATTACCGCTTGGAAGAGCTCTTAAAGAGATAGATGAGTTTTTCCTCAAAATGAAGCTAGACATGTTTATGAAAAATGTGTTATTATACATTTGCAATTTAATACTTGGCAGCTGAAATCAGGAACTCTTGAGATGGTTTCGACTGAAATATTAAGTATATCTCACAAAGGATTCAATATTAGTCTAACAAAACCAATCTTTTTTTCTTTATTTGTTTTTATCTCATATTCATTATTTTTATAAGTAACTCAAGACAGAGAACTTACCTAATACTCCTTCTTTTCCTGTTTTCTCCACAACTCTGTGAAGTGGGTTGGGCTGAGAGAGAGAATGAGTGGCCCAAAGTTACACAACCAGCTTTCATGCCTAAAGTGGGATTAGAATTCATAATCTCCTGGTTTCTAGCCTTAACTTCTTGACCAACTTCTTGAACTTTTCTTAGATCAAACAGGGCTCTTCTTCTTCCTTAACTGGCTCATTAAGTTAGCTCTATGTATCAAAGAAGAAAGTGAAATCAGATCTAAGCTCTGCAGCTTAATCACAAAACCAAGCTAAAGTGGTTAAAAATAAAATAACAGACCAATAATGATGTGTCAAAAGTGATTTTATATGTGCTTCAAATGATAATTTTCATGCCATCATCCCAAATAGTATTTGTCAGTTGTCTACATCAGGTGTTGTTATATAAAACATGGTCTTCTATCTTCTGAGAATATTTAATGGCTGTCAGATGCATCTTCTACAATGTAATTATCACTTGACTAATTAAATTTTTCATTTTGAGAATGATTGCCTACAACCTATTCATGATGCTGCCTTGTTTCTTCCCAGCGAAGCTGACACTTGGTTGTTGTTGTTTTTTTGCATATTTTTTAAAAAAGTCATCTTACATGGAAGGAATCAAGAAATGTGTAATGCAAATATATAATTGTCATCAAAGGAGAAATGTTAAATGCTTACAGTATGTTATTACCAGAAAATGCTTCAACTGATATACATAAGTGGTTCTTCAGAAAATGGGACAGATATTTTCAAAGTTCAAAGGGATGAATTAATAGTCACCTTTCTAGCCTTTATTTAATCAAAGCTATGTATATCTTACACTGCAAGATGCTCAGATTGTTTAGGTTAAGGTATGCCATAAATAAGCTATTTTGGGACTTGAACAAATGTGATCCTTGAAAGCATGCTGTTTTCGGGTAGTCCTCAGGTTACAACCACAATTGAGCCCAGAATTTCTTCTTTTAAGCAAGACAGTTGTTCAGTGAATTGTCCCCCATTTTACGACTTTTATTGCCATTGTTGTTAAGCTAATCACTGCAATTGTTAACAACACAGTTGTTAAGTGAATCTGGATTCCCCATTGACTTTGCTTGTCAGAAGGTTACAAAAGGGGAACACATGACCCTAGGACACTACAACCGCCATTAAGTACATGGCAGTTGCCAAGCATCCAAATTTTGATCACGTGATCTGGGATGCTGCAGGGATACTGATCAGTGTTCAGTGCTGTTGTAACTTCGAATGGCTGCCAAATGAATGGTTGTAAGTCAAGGAATACTTTTATTATATATTCTTTCTTTTATCCTTTCCTTTGTTGTTTGACTTAATAGATAATATTTACTCTGGGCTCTTAGTTTGCTTTCATCTTGCTCTAATTCCCCCAATTTGATGCCTTCTTCATCTTGCTAGGTAGCAGAAGCTACCACAGAAAACCAAGATAAAACTGTTCTAATCTACACATTATAAGAGCTTTCAGGATTTTTTTTTCCTTTGCAGTACCTTAAACTGTTTAGCACTTATTGGTGTTGGATGTGCATGTCTTAATTCTTCAGTTCACCCAAACTTCCTCACTTCTTCATTGGGTCTGCCTTGCTGCTATCAACATTAAATCCCAAAAAAACTGTCACCATTGATGCTTGTTTGTTTGTTTGCTATTTCTTCTCATCTGTTCTGCTCTAAATTTCCCAGTGAATTTAGTAGGCCATGCACATGCTTCTTTGAGGGGAGAATTGAGGATTTCATGTAGAAATGTCTTCTGTCCATCCACATTTTGGGACACAGATAGTTTGATTTGGAAAGATGGTTGCTGAGGCAGGCAGGCAGCTAGGAAGGAAGGAAGGAAGGAGGGAGGGAGGGAGGGAGGGAGGGAGGGAAGGAAGGAAGGAAGGAAGACAGGCTTTGGAATCAAGTTTTTTTACTATTTGTCCGAAGATGGGTGTTATACACTGAGTTCGCTTTGCATGAAAAAGAGATTTAAATTCATGTTATCCAAAGTATCTGTGATAATATGTTTTATTGAAGACTGTATATAAAATCACAAATCTATGAAAGGATAGTAAATATTAGGTAAACAAAATAATTTAGAATGAAAAAAAAACGTAAAAATGGTTTTAAACTAAACCAAATTAAAATAGGCAGATTCCCTCTGATGTAATGAAAACTGTTGAGGGACATTGCTTTTCACTGAGTGAAAGTTTTGTTAGCATTCATGGGGTACTGAAGGTGGACATATTTTTCCACAAGTGTTTCAGTCATATGATGAATTCTTATCATATATCATTCAAATTAATACTTTCTTTATATGTCCATAGAAAAAACATTAAGTTAAATACATGATTGATAAACTTTTCCTCAAATCAGATTTGACTCTTGTGTTTTCATAGACAGATCCATTACGTTTTCTTGGTAACTATTTTCATTGTATTTTCCTCCTTCAAATATGCCTACTCAATGCTTCCCCTAAAACCCTATTATCTAAATATAATTTAATCTCAACATATACCCCATTGTGATTTTTAACACAGCAATTACAATACATTACAAACCCAAAAGGCAGTTATTAAATCCCAATCCACAGAAACATACCAATGAATTTAGGCTACACTAGAATTCACAGAGTATGTCCCTCAAGCAAATTTGATGTTAACATTATCCATTTGCAAGAGGATCAGCTAAGGAACATATTACCACTTCTTAAAATGATTAAAGTGGCAAAGCCACTGGCTGCTCCGGCAGGCTGGGGGGCTGTTGAAATAGCCAGCCCCACGGGAACTATGAATGTTGTGTATTTTAAATTG